TCACATTTTCTTATCCATGTGACCAGAAAAGTTTACGTTCTGCCACACTACTCAGGTTGGTAATATTATATAAATTCGAAACAAAAATTAGCAAACAATTATAAATCTTATGAAGAAATATTTAGGTGGACCAAAGGTATTGAAACAACAGGAGTAGTTGGCAAAGACGTCGTCGAACTTCTTGAACAATCTATCGCAGAAGGGGCGTAAGCTTTTTCTTTTTTTTTTTGTTTTAATTTAAGAATTTCCTTTGAATAAATATTTGCAAATTATTTGCATTTTTTCTATATAATTTGATCACTTTATATGCTTATTATTGGGAATCAAATTTTAATTGCCCAAATTACGCTGTTAATTATTCGCAAATTATTTTGGAAATTGTTCCAAAATGGAACTCTTTCTTTTCTGCAGCTTTTTTTTTTTTTTTGCAGAAAACTTGGATAAATTTAATAACTTTTGGAAATGATAAATCATCAGAGTAATTAATTGGATTAGTAGAATTAGCTTTCATGAAAAAACAGCCTTACATTTGTTTACTTTATTTCTTTCTTCCATTCTGCGAATTGTTTGCAGGATATTAAAGTGGAAGTGGTAGCACTAATTAATGATACCGTTGGTACTATGGTAGCAGCTGCTCATGAAAGTGGTGGCAAATGTCACGTTGGTGTTATTATTGGTAAATTGTAGATGGAATATTTTTATTTCCTAAAAATTACATTTCTTTTTTAAGATTTTTTTTTCCAAGATATAATTAAATGAAAAAGGAAGAAGAAAAGAGAATGAATCATTGTAGCAACCGGTACCAATGCTTCATATATGGAAGATACATCAAAAATCGAATATGGTTTATCAAAAGCAATAACTGATTACAAATATCCGCAGATGATTATTGATACCGAATGGGGTGGTTTTGGAGATCGTTCTGAAGCTGATTATATATTAACACAATATGATAAAATTGTAGATAGCCGATCCGAACATCCAGGCGTAAACACGTATTTTATTTTATTTCATTTCTCATAATTATCGTCCTTTTTAATAATTAAATATCATATAATTTGTTTTAATTTCACAAAATGATAAAAGAAACGATAACTGATAAATTTGTTTTTTTTTGATAAGTTCAATTTTTATTCATACCTTTTTATCGATTTCTTTTTATTATATATTCACAGGTTTGATAAACTTGTTGCCGGTAAATGTATGGGTGAAATAGTACGTGTTGTACTAGAGAAATTGGTACGAGCTCATGTTCTATTCAATGGTAAAGGTTCAGATACTCTCTTTCAACAAGATTCCTTCCCAACTAAATATATCTCTGAAATTCTCAGGTAAACTCATTTAAAGTAAATAAGTCAGTTTTTTTTTAATCTTACGTGAAATTTCAATTTTAATCTTATGAAATTTAAAATTTATTATCAAGGAGAAAGAAATGATTAATTAATTAGTATTGGTTTTTAATATTATTCTATTTCACCTCAAAAAAAAAAAGACAAATAAAATTATAATATTTTTTGACAAATTTTTTCACGATATTTTAATGTTGTAAGCACATAAGTCCACGTTTATATATGTATGTAAATATTTGATGAAAACTTATTACAAAAGTTTTACGTGCAGTATTTTACGGTAATTATCGCAATAGAATATCAAAAACGTGGCTCAACATTGTCTATTTCCTTTTTCATTACATATACAATTTTTGGATAGTAATATGCTAAGGTCAAGTTATTAGTAATTGAAATCTCCAATTTAATCCTTAGTTGAATTATCATTCGTCTAATCGATTTTGATATCGTACTCTTATGAGAGGTATTCAGGCTTGATTTAGTATCAGAAACCGTTCTGTATAAAATGCAAATAAGTTTACGGAATTTCAGTGATGAAAGTGGATCATATGTACATACGAGAGATATACTGGGCGAATTGGGTATTGATAATTACAGCTTTAGTGATATGTTACTTCTTCGGGAGGTTTGCGTTGTCGTTTCTCGCCGATCAGCTAATCTTGGCGCTGCTGGTAACTTTCTAAACTACAACTTATCCAGATAATTTCTCAAGGAGTTAATCACACTCTGAAAAATTCACAATTAAGCTACGATATTTATCGAAAAATCAAATTATCAGTAATTAAATTCCCTCATTTTAGCTCATTGATAGTACTAAATTTATATGATTTACAAGAGATTAAATGTAAGCAATAATAAAAGATTTCTTTTTTTTTAAGACAATATAATAAATAAGTAAAAGTTAAATAAGAAATTGAAGAAAAACGAGTAAATTTATCATTAATCATAATTAATTAATGATAAATTTAAACACAGAATGTTTTATTTCCAATCAAATATGTAAATACAATTTGTCTATTGAGAAAAATAGAAATTGATTATAAGATTTGTTGGAAATTCAAATTTTTTAATGTTTAATTTGAAAATTTGCAGCAATTGCCTGCATACTAAATCGCATCCGAAAAGAGAATATGGTAGTTGGAATTGATGGCAGTACTTACAAATATCATCCATTTTTTGACTTCTGGGTTCATGATAAATTGAAGGAACTTGTCGATCCGGGTGTTAAAGTTGGTATTGCATCTATTACACTGATAAACTTTATTCCAAGTAGCTCACGACAATTGTCATACACCTCGGCCATTTAGCGTTATGATTGCTTTTTTTTTCTTTTGAAAATAATCCGAAAGCTAATTAAAAAGATGGCTACTAATATCATTATACTAATATCATTACTAATCAAAATGATAGTTACTGATATCATTTTATAAATAAAAATGATAGCTACTAATATCATTTTACTAAATTTGATAAAAAAATTGTTGGGTTAATAAAAGTTGAATTTTCCCAAGAATAATTTTAATTGAAAATAATAACGTTGTGATGATGCTGGAATGAAAAGTAGCTTGTTGAATCACTAATGATAGCTAATATCATTTTATTAATTAAAAGAATTAACAACAGCTAGCTAAAGCTATTGTGTGATAGTATTTGATGGTGATTCTGTTACTGACAAATAAATAATTTTAGTGTGTGTTATCAGTTTGATGATTATCACTCTATTATGGATTCATATGATTTGAATATGAAGCAATAATTCAATTTTAGAAAAAAACTGTTAAATATTTTTGCAGTTCAAATTATTACAAACAGCTGATGGTAGTGGTAAAGGTGCAGCACTGATAACAGCAATTGTTGCAAGGTTGAATAAACGCAATGTACAACAACAACAACAACAACAACAACAACAACAACAACAACAACAACAACAACAACAACAACAGCGACAACAGCAACAATGTAGTATGGACGAAAATGTCATAACGGTGGGAAAAAATATGGAGCAAATAACCGAAATGAAAGAAAGTCGCAAAGAGTCCATAAATGAGAAGCAAAAAATTAATTTAGTGACAAGTGACATAGCAACCTATGAGAAATTTAACAGCGAAATGGAGAATAGTATGATTCATTTATCCACTCCATAATAATATGATCATTGATTGATTTGATGAAGTTTATTTTGAGATATGAATATTCAAAGAATGTTCAGCAAATTTTCATATTTTCATACCATATTTAAGTAATATTACCGAAATGTAGAAAATCACAGGAAATTTTTGAAAATATAAATCTTATTGAAGTGAAAATTGCAAATTTTGAATGTAATTTTACCGTTTTTTTTCTTTTCTTTTCCACTGTAACCTCACTTTGAATATTTTCTAATTTTTTATTTTTTGGTATAACTTAGAAACAAATATTTTGTTATTATTTTGTTCTTCTGCTAAAAGCAGGCTTTTTTCTTCAACAATTATTATTTTGTTTATCTTTCACAACAGAGTTCAACTGTAAATTTGAAATCCTTTTTTGACAAAAAATATAAATAAAAAATACGGGTTTTAGTAGAAAATTGTTCTAATTACAATATTGATTACTTAATATCTTTGCATGCTTGTATACATTACGGCTAACAGAAAATGAATTACTTAATTTTTCTTCATGTAGTTGATTCTATATATATTTGTGTGATGCCGTAGAAATTTCACAAATTTCTTTCAAAATATCCCATTTTTAACAATGTTTCAAAAAAAAAATTTCATCATCAAATCATTATTTGATAATACTTTGAAATGATCAGTGTCATTTCTATATATCTTTTAGATATATAAATACAAACAAGTGGGTTAGTGTTGTCCTTCGAGAAAATATAATTTTTTTCCTTGAAAAAATTTAGAATTTTTGTAAATTTGAAATTTTTTGCATAAATATGATTATGTAAATCAGTGGATAATTTTGATAAGGAAAATGATATGGAAATGAATAATAAAATGACATTGCTTGCAACAAATTTTTTAATGTTTAGTTGACACATTATTGAATTGTATAATTATATAATAAAGGGATTGAACTACGCTGACATGTTTTCCTTTTGATTTCATAATTCTTTCGTCATACTCGAATGACCATTGCGATATGTAATTTGAATCATTTCCTATTACTTTATCTTTCATCTTTTTTATATTTATCAGTTATTAAATTCTGATATATTGTTGCTCATTTTCTCTTTTATATGTTTACAAAATTTTTATGCAACTAACATTTAGTGTCCTAATTTTCACCGATGCATAATAATTTAATAATATTAGTTAATATTTCTTAACATCAAAAGAAGCACTTTTAGTAGATTAGATAACTGATTCATGAATTTAAGCATGAGAGAAAAAATATGTAAATGCGATCTATTTGAATGGATAATTTTACGATATAACTATTTCGGTTTTTCCGACACTTCCGACTGAGAGAAAATTTTAGGTTTGGGGGATATAATTAAAAATATCTATATGATTTGGTCGTTTAATAAATGTATTTTGGTTTTTAGTGAAACAGCTAATTCAATTTCAGTCGGGTTTGTCGTTCGATTTGAACGTTTAATACAGGAAAAATGAAATATGAAACAGAGTAATTCTACTTTCACCTTAATAATAATTATTACCAAACAGATTATGAAAACACAAACACCAAAAATGATGAGTCGCCAATGCATCACAAAGTTGTCCAGTTCTTCTTGTATTAGTTCGGTCATTTTGTTGACCCCATCTCCGATTTGTTCTGATAGTTCGGTGCCTTCTTGATTGATTTCTTTCCAGATATTCCATTCTGGCCGTTTGGATTGATAATTGCTGTAGTTCCGTTGTTGTGATAAGATTTCTAGCTCAGCATTTATTCTTTCAATCTCAAAGTGATCGATAATGCCACTGATAAATTTTATTAACTTCAATTCGAGGTTGTTCGCTTTGCAGGGTGCAATTTGGAGACTTCCATTGATATGTTTTGCGGTTACGTCGTTCCTTTGTAGTATTAAGTTAGCTGCTACAGTAGGATTATCATGCGATATCCACTCAATAAGTGTTAGCAAGTTATTACGATTACGGCAGCTATTTTGATAGATTTCATTAAACTTCTGCTGAAATTGTTCTTGAAGAATATTATAGAGATATTGAAGTTTGGTATTTTCCGGATCAGTTCCCTTTTCTTTAGTGTTTTCCATCATGAGTAATCCTTTATAAGTTGAAGTCATCTGGTTCGTATCTTGGTAAAGGTTTGATATTTTTATTTTGTCGATTACGATATTGTTGTCCATTATATTGAGATCGATGAAATCTCAGTTTCTTGAATCAATTGTTTCATTAGACTTGAATGTAAATGCCATTTGAAGTTCATCAACAATGATGTGAGTGTCAAAGACTCGTGCTTGGTAATTTCCAATCTTTCGATATAAGCAATTACTCACGGCTTCTGTTTCGTTCCATAGAACTATACTTGTATTAGTTATGCATTTTCCGCTTTGTATGAGGCAATGTTGGATAGTGTCGA